TGGACAAAGATTAGCAGGATCAGATTTTCCTGCACATGTGGCAGTAGGTTGACAACTACCAGCAACTCCTTGACTATTTTTACAATCACGATAGGTACAACACTGTAACAATAATAAAAACATCGATGAAATAACAATAGAAGAATATAAGACATAATCTATACCTGAATAGTTTGATCACCTGGACAAAGATTAGCAGGATCCGATGTTCCACCGAGAGATGAACATCGACTAGTACTGATACATTCTCCACTGCGACCATTTCTAGCAACACAATTTCCATATTGAGCAATAGTGACAGAAGGAAGAGTCACCACAAAAATTGTAAGCAAAAGCATACGTAATTGTTTCATGCTGAGAGGCAGAATGCGATGAAAGTTTAAACTCTATAGATATCGAGTAGCTAAAAACAGAAAGGTTTAAATAGAACTCTGATATGGTATAAATGCGTGGGATGGGAATTTTTTACCATCTGCTTTTATAAACGAAAATAGAAAGTATTAAAAAAGACTAACATGATAATAATATCCATCTGTTCTCATATGTAAGACAATAGCAAAATATTCACATCAGAATTTAGTCGCGATGTGTATAAGTTGAAAACATAAATTTGATTAGATCAGTTACTGCGAAAGAAAACTTTTACTCGAATAGAATTTGTTGGCTCATGAGCTATTTAAGAGAGTCATCTGTCTTAATTTTTCTTTTCTTCCCATGCTTCTAAATATATATCACACTATGAAATACTTCTTGTTTGATGATTATTTATAGCATTGATATCGCTTTTTATATGTTTGTCAGTGACAAGTACTATTTTAATTATATTTTCTAATCGTTATCATAATTAAATATATATAAGGAATTCAAAGATTTATAATTCTTTAGAAAATTAGATCTTAGCTATTTGATGATCTTCTCAGAATAACCAGTACTGTAGGAATTTGTTTATAGTTAAAATATTAAGTCGAGTGATAACTGTTAATGCAAAAGAAACACATTAAAAAGTATAAATACAGAGCATAAATCTTCTTGCATATGATCATTGTTACTTGAAAATAAAGTCTTGAGGGTGAGGATGTGGATGCTGGTACCGTATTCATCTCACACCCACACCCTCAAGTATCTTATTCAAATAATTTTGGAGTAATCTACATAAATATACGATTTGTTTTGATATTTTTAGCGATAAATAATTTATTAAGATTCTTTAAAGCAAAAAAATACTACTGATATACTTTAGCAGAATAAGTTCAAAGAATTTAGTTTATATGAAACCAAGTCAAAATAACAAATCTCAAAGTTTTGGGTTCATTATATTCTGCATAGAGCTCTTAAGTTCAATGAAGTTGCATAGTGTTTTCATAGTTTTTTGCATATTAGTTTGTGTTTATATAATTCCCAGTCCATTGTTTGACATTGTTTTGTACAGTAACGTGCTTGTTTACATTTACCACAAACATTTAATGCATTTGATATTCCACAGCATCGACACATGTTTAACACCCGTTCCGATTCACTTTGCATTATAATTGATGAAGAATCGTCGACACGAATTAAGGGTTTCATATCACATCTACCTATTCGTAAGTATGGGTTTATAATATTCAATTTGCTTCCGATTGTGTACACTTTACTGGTTAAATAGTGACCTTGTTCTTGTGGAAAATCATAAATGAACATTCGTTCACAATCAAGATGTTCATCTTCAATAACCAGATGAATTGATGGAGACCATGTATAAGCTACTTCGATAATTTTTGCAGAAAGAACATATCCTTCGTAAACATGCTCTTTTGTTGGATCCATTTCTTTCAATGAAATTGCTTTTAAACCAATAAATGATTTAGCTGTTTGCTGTTTAACTCCAGGTTTATGAGTACCGGTTTCCAGAGAATAGTAGGGATCATTTATCGCTTTTAATGTTTTGGCTTCCCATTCACGATGCTCTTGGATAAGTTTAACTCGATGTGGATCTGTTAGACGCAGTTTGAGATTAATAGGAGGAGATGATTGTGTATTTAATAGAGATTTTGCATCAAACATACTTTTAACAAGTGTTTTATTGTTTGAATCATAAGGTAGAAAACATGGCAATTGTAGTTTTTCCGCATCTTCACCTTCCTTATATGTTTTTTCGACAATATCTATCATACCTTTATCTATCATACCATTATCTTTTAGACGTGCGATATAGCAACAAGCCATTGCATAATATGATTCAGGCACTTTACGATGATCTTTAGGGGCTGCTGCTAAAAAGGTACGATACGCTTCGATTGCTTCATTCAAGTCCTTGTCTAATAAGCGTAATGCAACAGCTTTATAATATAATAATTCGTAGTAGTCTGGATCTACTTTTAGTCCAGAATTAGCGACGTATATAGCAGTTTCATACTGATCTAACCATCCATGTACTGTTGCGCTTAATTCAAAAAAATGAATTGATTTTGGATATTTTTCTTTGCATTGCTCGAGAAATTTGGCAACCAACGCATGCGAATCCATATGTAATACAGCATAACATATTCGGGCATCTTCATCAGATTGCGAATTGTTGACATTAAATTCTAAACTGTTACGATGAAGTACATGGTCAACAATTTCTTCAATTCTCTGACGCATTTTAATACTAGGAATTTGAGCAACAATATGCTCAATACGATAACACTGTGCAAGTTGATGTACAAACAAATCTTCCTCTTTTTCTGCTAAAGTTTCAGAATGCGTAAGTACATTGAATGCTTCCATATAATGCTCCAGAGCATCACACATTTTTTTAGCTGTTATTGAACCACGGTTGGCATATTCATTAAACATATTGTAATCATGGATGTATGATTTATTAGAAGTTTTATATACGGCTCCTTTTGGCTTCAACGAATCAATTACGTTTTTCATTCCATCAACCATTTGTAAAATATTAGGTGAACTACAGTTAATAAACTGTTTTTTGTCGCTTAACATTTCCTCAAACTTATTACGACCCATTTGAGCAACAATATTGCCAGATTCACAAGCTCGATCATGCCATATTTTTGCCATTTTAAAATCATTTTTATGTAATAAAAGTCCGGCTAAAGTCAACATGGCATTTGGATCGCCTCTTTTCGACGCTAGCTCTAACAGTTGTTCCGCCTTTTCGAGGTTTTTATCAACACCAGTGCCGTGTAGATACATTAAAGCCAAATTATTAGCTGCTGGACCACTACCATGTTCCATAGCTCGTTGGTACCAGTATGCAGCAGTAGGTAAATCTTTGTGAACACTAATACCTTCGGCATACCTAAGCCCTAAAGCATGCTCAGCTTCGGCTACGCCCAAGTTGGGTATAACTTTAAATATCGGATGTTTTGGTGGTAGTGAAGCGGCTTGTTCATATAATTTGAGTGCTAAATTATGATCTTTCTTCACACCTAAACCACGATCGGTCAAGCGAGCTAAATTATATATTCCTTCGGCGTTTTCTTGTCTTGCTGCTTTCGCAAAATATTTAGCAGCCTGTTCATAGTCTTGTTTAACGTCAATATCTCCGTGTTCATATTTATGTGCTTTGACCACATCGGCCCCAGATGGGTCTATTTCTTTGATTAAACTATGGCCTGATCGTACATGTTCTGGATTTACTCCCATTTTTTGCTGTAGTTCACTTAGTTGTTCATCCATCGTTTTGGGTTGTAGCCTTGGATCAAGATGTTCTTGTCGTAATTGCTGACTATATATTAGTCGACTATTATCTAATGCTTTTTGTACATCGTTATTTGTCGGACCAAGAGCTAGTGCTCGTTCAAAGGAATTAATAGCTTTTTCATGCTCATTTATAGTGGCATAGACTTTACCAACACGAAAATGTCCTTTCCACCAAGTTGGCCAAAGAATTCGAGCTTGTTTAGCATCTTGCAATGCTCGATAGCGGTGATCTCTTGGATCGTCTATTTCAGTTTTATTTGAAGATCCAGATTTTAGTTCATACAATGCCAGACGACTGGAAGACATATTTGAATAGAAAACAGCACGGTCATGATTGGAAACACCTGATAAAACAGTTGCTTTTGTAAATAATGTAATAGCGTCTGAAAATTTTCGATCTTTGTGAGCTTGTGTACCAAGTGCATTTAAACGTAATGCTTCTTGTACGTTTTCTTCGTTTATTGATTGAGTACGCGTATCAAACACACTATCATCCTTGATTTTATCTAATTCGCTGTCTATGTCACCTAACGCAACTAGAATTGTTGTTAACTCAGACCATAGTTGATTAAATTCAACATCATCAATAGATTTCGACGCATGATGAGCTAATTTATTTCGAATATCTCTTAATTCTGTTAAAATTTTATCTTCATTATCGAGCTGTTGTATCTGAGTTTTATTTAGCGTTTTCGGACGATCACTATTTAGCAGAAGTGCAGTTAACGTTGTTAAATCCCAATCATTTGAATTACCGTTGGTAACTGAAGTCTTTTGTACGGATGTTAAATTAATCTTTTTATTTTTCGTGACAATATTAGTCCAAAAATTCTTTCCACATGTTGTTGAATCATCCCATATTTTACCGCCATTGAACAAAGAATACCGAGTTTTGAACAACTGTCGAAGTATAACATAAGAACGTGCTATTAGCAGTTCTAATTTAAAATAATTACGATTATTAGTTGGTATATTAGTCATGATCGAAACAGATCTAATAATTTTGGTGCTAATGTTTGTATAAGAAAGATTTTTATTTGCAACTTAGATGCTTGATACCTTTTTAATATTTTATGGAGTTTGTTCTGTAGTCGAAACTATCTTTGTCTAGTTTGTAACCTTTGCTTCAAACACTTTTCTTTATTTTTGTAAACGAATAATATGATGCACAAAATATTTACGAAGTAATATTTTGCTCGGTTGACGTATTTACTACGACGGCGTCTATCGAAAAGAAAAAAAACCATATAAACGTTTTTCACGTGTAGGTAAAAACAACGTCAGTGATTTTTATTTCGTTCTCTTCATTATTACACTAATTTTCTTTTTCTTTCTTTATCAACATATTGTTGTGCATAAAGCTGATCATTTTACAACGAAACGATACTCAGTAAACAAAATTTCTACTAGAAATAAAACGGTGAGAAATAAATTGGCAAAACAACACAAAATTCTTCAAAAATAAGTATTCTTCATTCTATCGACCAAGTTGTATTCATATTTATAAAAGACTTTCTTAAATTTAGCCGGTTGTAGGAATTATATATTACTAGCTGCTTAATCGACCTAGGACATGAGAAAGAGCACGATCGAAAGTGAACTTGAAAGAATGTTTTTTTTTGTATATACAATGATAGTCAAATCAATGCTCTATTTTTAGCGACACTTCATTAGTCTTCATTTGATATTTTGAGGGTGTGGGTGAGTGTGTGTGTAGTTGGATTTAATATCGATACCTATATCAAACCCACATCTACACTCACCCTATGACTATAGAAAAGAAAACCAAGATGGTTGTCTATAAACTGACAAGCCTATTTGCTACCTATCCAAAGCTACTGCAATGCAGCTTTCATTTTGACGGAAAAACGAAAATCTCCTATTTTGTCTATATACTCATGATAAAAAAACTCTATTCACAAAGTTAAATTTAATCGATCATTCAATATCCTCATGTTCTCATAATGCAAAAACTAATTCTGTTTTACAAATAATCCGATAATCTTCACATATGTTTAATTTCAAAATCAAATAGCAACATGTCATATTTATATGCTAACGGGTGTGGGTGGGTGTGGATGTGTGCGTAATGTGTCTATGGCACCTACATCCACCTACACCCACACCCACCCTCGTAATTGGATCATGTCAATGCAATAAATTGTCCTGCAACAAAATGTTTATGCGATAAATTCTTGGTAACGAATTGTCCGATCATCATTTTATAGCACTTTGTAGCTCTTTCATTCTTCTATCGATTAGCATATCAAAAACATATGAGCATTGCTACGGAAAATACCAAAGAAGATCAAATTGATATTAGATAATATGTAATAAAGTCTCGCTCAATAGAAGAGTAATATTACTGATGTTGTCAGTCGTCTCTATACAAAAATAATACAGAATTGAATGATCTATCCAGGAAAGAGAAATTGCCCTTATATTATTTCAGAACTATGTATATTCTAGTCAAAAAGCTAGACTGTTGCATACATAGTGGAAAGACATTAGAACAACTAAAATATCTATAAAACATCAATGATTTTTTTTTTAACATACCAATATTCGAATAATGATTGGGTAGAAGAAAAAGACTGTCTCAATGTAAAATAGGAAAGTTAGGAATATTGAAATAAACATGATGGAACAAAAGATTTGTTTATCTGACACAGCATATAGCTGTCGAGTAAAATCAAAAATATTAAAATATTTAGAAAAGATTTTGTCTTTAAGTAAAAACCTTTCAGATGAATTTAATGAACTAGTTAAGGAGAAAATGCTATATTTCATCATAATACAATGGTATAAGTACGAATTAGAAACATAAGACTTTGTTATTGATTTATATAAAATAATAATAATAATTAGTTAGAAAGTACGACCAGAAACCTATCGAAATAGATAAATGTCTCAAATAAATAAATGGATAATGAGTAATGTAATTACAATCTACTGGTAGCCGTAATTATACTCAGTCAAAAAGAATTTAAAAGAATCCTTTCTTACTCTTCAAACACCAAGATTATCTGTGACTGATTGATCTAAATCATATTTATGTTAATACGAAAGATCTATTCATGTTAAATTTAAATAAATTTGTAATTATTGATATCTATAAGGATAAACAATACTTATAAAGTATAATTCTTGATTATTCATTACTAAAGTAAATAAAAGATCCATTTTGTTTTTTCTCTTTCATATTATTATGAACAATGAATACGATAACCAATAGATATAATAAGATCAATTATAATTTTAATTGACTTCATATATGTATATATATATATTATTATTCATTCATTATCAGATAAAAAAGGATTCGTATCGTAATGAAACTTCAATAACATGAACAAAATAAAATTTTGAAATATCAATTCGATGAATAACTATTGACATTAAAGAAATGTTGAAATAGATGTAGTTGAACATGAACATTTTTATTCATGGATTAATATTCGACATGGTGGAGATGATGTAAGAGATTAATTCAGTTGTAGAATTAGTGAAATTTGAAGAAATGATTAATATTTTTTGTTTTGTCACAAATAATAGACATTTGTTTGAAATAAAGGGTAATTATTTTTCAACTAGCTAAAAATTTCATTCGTGTTTTTTTAATTAATATTATCGATCAATTTCTTTGATTTTATTTTAAAACGAGAAGATTGTCAGTACTTTATGGATAACAAGTTAAAGATGTATATCAATGATGATTATTTTTCTTATTTTCAAAGAAAAGCAAAAGACTATTTGATATAATTTGAATTGTCAAAGTTTCTAATCAAATATATTACTTCTTTTAACTAGCATATATATATATATATATATGCGTGTGTGTGTGTGTATGTATGTTTCTTTTCTTTTGCATTCTTTAGTGCATATAGTATTTTTGGAAAATAACTCAAATAAAGATGTCATCAGTTGAATTCTTTTCGTCCGATATTTTGTTTACCGACAACTAACGACAACTATTTCTAATTGAGTTTTACTTATGTTTTTGTGAAACACGAACTAAAAAGAGTGTTGAAGTGTTTAGGGGCAGAAATTTGCACCCACTAGCCCCCCCCCCCCCCCCCCACTGGTCTGACCGACAAAAAAACATAAACATCACCGACAGGGCATCACAGACGTGATCGACCGAATATCAAAGGCGGCGATCGACAGGATATCATAGACCATCACAGACGTGATCGACAAGGCATAACAAGCGTGACCGACACAGAATCACAGACATGACCGACAGATGTTCTTTTGACCTCGTCATAGACGTGACCGACAAGGTATCATAGGCCTTTATATAGGGTGTGCGTGGGTGTAGACATAAACGAGCAAAGATTACGATATTCACACTCATACAACTATTAAAACGCTAATAAAGCGAGTACATCATTTACAAATTATTTCTCTCCTATATTTCTATACCTTTATGTCACTGAATGAGGTCAAATCCGCTTCATAAAGATACGATTAGACTATATTCTTGAAGGTAGAAACAATAATTAGATCGTGTTTCACATTTTAATCTCGCAAGGGATTGCGCTAACAGCTTTTTTAATTAATTCTATATATAATATAAATAAAAGAGATGGAGAATATCTGTTAGCAGTAACAGTTATTACAAAGTTACTGCCAACTTATTTGATCACTCTCGTGATCAAACTTCTACATACTCCTCCCCCCTTCTTAGTGTCTTCGTAGTTTCTCACCAGCTTCTGTTCGTTCTTCTCCTTTTCTCTCTCTCCCGCCATATTTTTTCTCTCATTTTGTTTTTCTCTCTAGTTCATGTTTTGATATTCAGTTCATCTTTTGTCCTGGTCCATATCACTTGTTTTTCCCTCATCTATCCCGTCTCTTCCTTTTCATCCCTCTCCATTATCATTATCTTGTCCCTTGTTTTTTCCTGTTTATTTTCTTTCATAAAATAAACATCTTGATTGGAGACTTCCAAGGTAAGATCAGTTTCCATTTCTGCTTCTGTGTCATATGTATATACACTCAAAGAGAAGACCTAACAATATCATCGTTCATTAGTGATCGAATAGATTAAACAAATGAAAAAAAAAAACAGGAATGAAATAGTGCGATTGGTTTGTCTAAAAACACCTATCATATTCTTTAATTTACTTTTCATTCATTCTCTGTTCCTTCCAGGACGATGATTCCTGAAGCAGTATTCCCAGAACTTCCGATGAAAACCCTCAGGAAACTCACCGTTTCTGGCAGGAACCCTGCCGGAAAATGCCCGGAATTTCCTCCTGACATCAGTTCCGGACGGAACCGGGCGGATTTGGTCACCGGATCCGATCACCGGAATACTGCTTCCATTTTCCTATGAATTTCCCGTGTTTTCCTACGGAATGCCCAGGAAAATCACGGAATCCGGTCGTTTCCTACCGTACGTCTTTGACATGGGTTGCTTGAACCTTATACATCATGAATCACCATTTCAAGTTAAACGTTTCAAAGTATGATTAATTCAAATAATCTAAATATTTCCTTCATTTATTTTCTCTTTTTAGACATCAACAGCAAGTTTACCAATATTTGAACATCAAAATTTAGCATGGAAAAATTTAAAGAAAACGATTACTAATCAACTTAATAAATTAAATAAATCAAATTTACCAATAATAGTTAATGAACTATTTAAACATAATATTATTCGTGGTGTAGATGTGGGTGTGGGTGGGTGTGTGTGAAGTTGGATATATTATCCACACCTATCCCAGACTCATTTTCATTTAGATCCATGTATCGTACCTGGTCTTGATTTAGTTGCCGCAGATAATCAACAAACACATATGATCGAGTTACTGGATTCAATAATTACAGATCAATCTATCGATGATGATCGAATAAATATTAATCAACCACATAATAATCATCGGAAAGATGTAGAGCAAAACATATATCTGAGCATTCAGTCAGCGATTAATGCAGAACAATGTGCTTACAAATTACTGCATCAAACATTATTATCACGCAGCCAAGAAGTATGTTCTTTTTACTATATAAAATAAAAGCTTTTATTTAAGATAAAATCTAATTTGTAGATGATCGTATATAAAAAAATTATTCATATGTGAGCACAAAAACGATCATATGATCCTTTTCTTGGTATAGTGAGTCAACATGGATCCGGTACAATTTACCAACAATCAGTTAGCCGACAAGTACTTTTTGCCGACAGTTACAATTTGTTGATAATTTGTTTTGTCAATATCTTCACCGAAAATTTTTCAGATTCTTTCCGATGATTTCTCATCGGTTCCTGTAGAAAAGCGCAGGCAATCGACTGAAATCCACCAAAACAGAGTGGATGGGTCAATGCGTGTGTAGTTGGATATAACATACACACCCACACTCACCCTCAAGATTTATATCATTGTTTTCTATCATGTAATATATTCCATTTTCATTCGTTTTCAGCTATTTAGATATGCATTGTATAGATAAAAATGTCTAACTCGAAAGTAAATGATAATTCCATTTCAACATCATCATCATCTAATACAAGTTCATTATCATCTAGCACAAGTTCTTCATCATCAATATCTATTGGTCAAACATCTTCGTCATTATCTTCTAGTTGGAATTCATCATCATTCCTACCACGTCATCATTCATCATACAAACGACGTCGATCGTCTATTTCTTCTTTATTTGCACATTATGACAAATTGATTATGCACATGAACTACCATTTCAAGTTACCCAGACCGATGAATCCTGACCCAATATTCCTTGAAAATCCTCAGGAAACTCATCGTTTTCGGCAGGAATACCATGGAACCGGCCGTTTCCGTCCCGGATTGTTCGCCCTGGATTATGAAGAGATTAGAAGACAGAAATTAATTTATTATTTTTTGTTGTGTATTATAGAACATTAGCACACTGTTTTTATGGTATTTTTCGTCATGACAATAAAAAAGATATAGAATTTGCAATTCAATTTTTGTCTACAATTGGGCTTAGTAATCTAACGTAAGTATTGATTTCAATCAAAATTATTCTTATTTCTTCTTTTATTTGATGGAAATGGGTTACGAAAATTTTTAAATGAAAAATCTAATACAAACTTCATTACCTGTACTACGAAGTTACATTATTGTTTTTTTTGTGTAAATGTTATTTTTTTTTCTTTTATGTTTATTATTATTATTGTGTAAAGAAATAAAATTAAAGAATATAAAATTTGTCTCATAATATGAAGTTATGAAAGTAAAAAATTATATCACAGTTATTAAGATTAAAGATTAAGGCTGTCAAAATATGAATATAAAATGTATTTCAGAAGAAAACTCTAATATTGAGAGTGGATGTAGGTAGGATTGAGAATAATCTTTTACGACATCCACATCCTCATGAAAAAATTTTCATCGCGTGAAATCGTCTACATGATTGTATTTCACTACTTAATATAAATACAATTATATCTTTTAGAAATACCAAAGCGAACTGAATTTGAGCAAAGTTAATCTCAGTCAGAAGAGACACAATATTAAAATCAATATAATTACAAGTAACGCTCCTCCGAGGACTCGCTTAGCTCTTTCTCGTAAAAATGCATTTTCTTCACATTTACCGGAAAAACAAATAGAAACCATGAAAAATCAGTTTTCGGTGTTTTTTTGACCTTTGACTTCTCTTCACCCCCGTCCCTTCACACGGTCATCCAATAGTCCTCAGATTTCGAACTCTCCGTATCGAGAAACCTATAGAAATATCTTTTTCGAAAAATCAGTTTTCAATGTTTTTTTGACCTTTCACCCACACCCGCCCTCTTCACCCACCCCCCCCTAACCGTGGTCACCCAATAGACCTCAGATTCGAACTCCCCGCATCGAAAAACCTCTAGAAATGTCTTTTCCTGAAAATTGGTTTTCAGTGTTTTTTTGACCCTGCGGACAGACAACCAGACAATTTATGTTTGCAAGACTCTTCTCTACGAGAAAGAGAATATATCATTTAGAGACAACGAGTTAAAAGGACATGCATATATTTATTCATATATATATAGGTGAGTGATGAATTACAATACAACATTGATTAAACAATTACATGTTATTCTTTTGATCTGATTCTCTATTCCGCTGTTTGTACTGTCATGATCGGTCTCCGGTTGATTTTTCTGCTTATAAATGCTTTGAGTGGTTCTGTACTCTGAAATATAGTTATCATAATAATGATCAATGATACACTAATCGATGTGTAAGCAATACGAAAATGATACTTTGGAGGTTGAGTAAAGAAACCCATAAAGATAAAGATTGCATAAGGTAAACCAAATGCTACTAAAAGGGATACAAGTACCACTATTCGATGTACCATATTTAATTCTCGTTGCGCACGTAATAAAGTATTGGCTGATGTAACGTGTGTGCTCATTTGTTTAACATATCGAACTAATTTGAAATATATAAAGATAGTACCATTGACAGGAATTAAATAGAGCAAAACAACATTATAAACTGTGACGACAGAAAGATTAAGAGACATTTGACATATTTGATCATCACTATGATAGACTATTCTGCCGGTAAATAGATGTGGAAAAACACATATAACTCCAATGAACCAACTTAAACCGATGAAAAAAATTTGAACTCGTTTTGATCGCCAAAATAAACGAGTTGGGTGCACAATTGACATATACCGATATATAGCTTGAAGAAAATACGAATAATTTTGAGTAAAACATGTGGTATAAATTGCATAGCCTCGAAAAATACAAAATGAATCCATATATTGTTGTTGTTTAAGATCATTTTCTAATGCAAATATAGCCATCCAAAATAAATCACATGTAATTAGAAGTTCAGCTAGACAAGAATTGGCAACTAACATCATAGGAACTGTATGGCATGTTTTATCATATATTATGATAAATAAAAATATTATAGTAAGTAGAATGACTATAAAAAGACAGATAATATTGATAATATCAAAAGAAATAAACCATGATTCAGTATCAACTGCCATTGAATTATTGTCATTCATCATTACTACTATCTAAAGAAAAGACGAGAAATTTACCGGTTTTTATTTACTTTCTGATCTATCTTCTAGTTAGTGATGACGTAGTGAAAAAGAATGTTTCTCTTAGGATTAGCTGTTTTTCCAAGTAAAAAGATAAGCACTTGTCATGTATTACCGATAATAGATGTAAAGGGCCAATTTTACCAGAACAATCATGCTAGTGTATAACTATATATAATGATATGTGATAAAACGCTATTTCATATAAAATTCTCAATAACTATTATGAAGAAATGTTAGAGTTCTTTGAAAACAACTGAATATTCATAAATAAAACTAATATTAATTCTAGTAGATTTACGTTTATAACTTCAGTCATGCCCAGTGTTTCTAATAGGAATCTGAAGTATAGTACCTCTCGGCACGTTCAACGTGTAACTAAAGTACCATTTGGTACTTTATTTTGAATGGCAAAGTACCATACCGTGCCAAAGGTAAAAAAACCATGTTAAAAAAACACAAACAAAGTTTTTACTATTCATATATTTTCATGATGAAATAGTTCTATAGAAAAATAATGTAACCAAAGTAAAACATGTCAACAACAATCAATAGTACATACAATTGATTGCAAAAAAACTTGGAAAGATTTTTTTTTAAGATAGCTATTTTTCTGCTGTTAGAAATGAATATAGAACTGATTTTTCCAGGGATAAATCCTTTTTGAGAGACATATTACATGTTATATATATATAAGAGTGTAATTTTTTTTCCCTTTTCTATTTTTTATAAGTCAATCAAAAGAATATGAAATTATACTGTTGTTTAGTGCTCTTCGTAGGCTAACTACCACATTATAAACTAATTTGAAAAGCACCTGTATAGGAGAAGATATTTGTAGAAGGTTTCCAAGTTTTTTTGTAAACAACTCTAACAAATAAATGTGCTAAGATAAAAATGGATCGAATAACCTGTTTAATAAAAAATCAATATTATCTAGAGAAGAAACAATAATTTCTACGACCGGCAGCAGATAATAAATCTCGAAAAAGAATGAACTATCTAAGCTCCACCTGCAAGTAAAACGAAAAGAAAGGAAGGACAAAGAAAAAAAAAGTAATTTATGGATAAGCTATAGTAAAACCAATAAGTAAAGTACTTTTTCATTTAACAAAGTGCCATCTAGGTACATTGTTTTTTTCAGCAAAGTACCAAATAACGTGTCATTTCAAATTGTTATGTGCCGCCGGCACTTTGCTAACACAGTCGGCACGCGCTATTAGAAACACTGGTCATGCCTCTAGAGAATTCTTACAAGTCATTTTGTCACATCCTTTAATGATCTTAGTAGCGTGTGCGTTAAATCTCTTATACTTTTACTAATTACTTGTTTAACAGTTTTATGAAATGTCTGATCAAAATACTTTTACGCAAATGACTTTTGATAATTCAGAAATCTCTCAAAACAGACGTCATGAACCTAAATAAGAAACATAATGCTTATAAGCGCTTTTTTTCTAATATTTAGAATTTATAAATTAAGTGATGACATATTGATAAGGATTTATTGGTCGGTGTTAGTCCTTCTTTTGAGATGAAAAGGTACAAAAAGTCTGCTTGATGTGAGACAAACAAATAAAGTAATTTAGACAGTAACAATCGATATAAAACAAATTTTTCTCAAATGAATAGCTGTCAATCTTCCATTTAACCTATGACAAATAACGAAAAGGTTGTTTCATTCTTAGAATTAATTGAAATGTTGTCCTAGGTTTTTTATATACATAGAAAACGATAGACCGATGTCGATTTTTGTTAGCGACAAATGATCACAGTCGTCTGCACACATGTTCAATTCATCTTTTATTGAAATCGATAAGTTGAATATCACATCAACAATGCATATGGAAATGCAAGAATAAATAAAATTAATAAAAAAAATATCACGGTACGTCGAAACATTTTAGTTTCTTGTTGTAGGCAAGATTATATATTAACAGGTAAAAAGACTTCGGAAGACGAATTTCCTATCATTTCGAGTTTATTTTAATGAAAATCATAAAAAAATCAAATAGCTCAACAATGTTCACTGAATTTCATTCGTTTAAATCCAACATTAAATTCATTTGATTCGATCTTATTCTTCCCAAGCCACACTTTAACAAAATTGGCATCTGTTCGATATGTTGAATCGATTGTATTATCGACTATCCATTGGACAATCTCTTTTGAAAATTTTCTTTGACGAATATCGAATTGAATACTTGATAAATGATTACATCGTTCCAAAACAATTTTTATATCATTTAAATCATCAACAGGTATTTGTAAATGTTTTATCTGACGCGAAATAAGACAGCAAATATCTTCTGTACATAAACCAAATCCATAGGCAAAATGTGAATAAATTAATAAAGATGAAAGATTATGTGCTTGTTGAATTAAATTGATAATATCAGATAATGCATTTGTATCTGATGTAATAGGAAAACAGCTGTTAAATTCGATTTCAACAAGATGTGAAAGATCGATAAGAACTGAAAGTGAAATGAGAGGAATAAATGGCCAATCATCGGCCAGATTAATAAAGAGTTTAGTCGCTTTACAAAACACAGGATTCATGATCATTGTTTCCTAAAAATACTCATTGTAGTATTATTATTTTCTTAAAAATAACACACCTTAGTACATACTTTCTCCGCTATCTCATCAGCCAAAGCTTTTGTCATTGTTAAAATAACATTCTCGACATTGTCCATTCTTGATAAATTAGATGTAGTAGTGGTGGAAAGTGACATTCTCTGTGACGATGGTATGTATTTCATTGTTGTTTGACAAATTGGTAATGAATAGAGATATATTTTTTTCGAAGATTCAATATCATATTCGCATGTGAAAAACCATTTTTTATGTTCAATCCAAAATAAAGATCGGAATGATTTAATGATTGATTCAATATCTTGAAGAGTTTGAGGGAACGTGTGATATATCCATACCAAAAGTTCGAATCTATCTAGCATTGGTAAACGTATTTGAATAAATTGCTCCCATCTTGTTCCATCAAGAATATTTATTTCACCAATCATTTTTAGATGAGTCAGTGATGGAGTGAATAAAAGAAAAGATTCTAGTTGATCGATATTTATATGTATTTCAGCAATCGTAAGTGAAGTCAATTGAAGAAAACATATGGAATTATTCGTGTTATCCATAAATGGCAGTACTTGTTGTATCGTAAGTGCTCGTAACTGTGGAGAACATTGCATAATTGTGCATAAATTATGGAAAGTCATATTTCCATTGATTGATAAATCACGAAGCGTACTTTTTTCAAGCCATTTTATCAAACCAAATCTCTCACTTTCTATTTGTATGTCAAGTTTCTGAAGATGCAATTGGGAAATGATAGTAGTCATAAGTTTCACAGTTGTCATTTTTCGTCTTTGATCATATTTTTGTATTTTTATTACAAATGAGTTAAGCTGATCAACTTTTATACGTGTTAAAATATTAGTTGCTTGCGATTCATCAACATCTCGAAGAATAAGAGATCGAAGTCGAGTAAATCGATAAATTCGAACTGACGAAAGAAAAAAATCTATCTGGCCAGGTGTTTTGTCATTGTTCAGTATCAATGAAATGACATTCTCATGACGAACTATTCGACAAATAAGATTAAAATTAGATTTCGAAATCGATTGAAAATCGAATACATAACGGTTATAAGTTTGAATAACTGAACGAAACAATCGACATACTTGTCTTAACGAAACTACAATTGTTTCAACATCGAGATTATCAAAAATCTGATACAGTAATTCAATTGGCAATGTTTCAAGAGATGCTAACATGTTGTTTGTCATCGATGAAATGATGTTGGGAAATTTTTCACATAAATGACTACATTGTATAAAACCATGATGACAGACAGCATAACTGGGAAAAAACCAATAGCCAATCAAAATCTAATACGAAAAGAAAAGTAAAATATTCTGTTCTGAATCATTTTGTTTAGATGTCGTACTACAACGATGAGAAGTGCTTCAAAAGTGAAAATATTCGTTTAATGTTAGACTTTTATTTTAATAAATATGCAATTACGGGTGGGTGTAAATGTGGGTATGTGTGGATGTGAGTGTATGGCTATGAGTGTGGTTGTAGGTATCGGTTTAGGTGCGGGTGTGGTATGAATATTATATCCATCTCTCAGCCATACCTACCCACACACCCCGACAGATCAAATCTCTTTTTAAGTCTCATTCGATAAAAAAACGTCAAAGAATTGTTCCATGGAAAAGATCTATGTTTCGATTGGAATATCCTTAGATGAATAATAATTATATATTGATTTTATTGAAAAGTGAATCAAATAGTTAATTGTTAATTCGAATAACAATCATCTTCTCAATCATCAGAATCAGAGTAAATAGATAAACAAAGTCTTCTATCTTCTGTTTCCAAACGATTTTGTAGTTCGTTCGAGATTTTGTTATTAATAAGTGTCAGTTCTTGGAGTGTCTAAGTACAACAATCAAGATAATTCAATGTGCGATTACTAAAAAAGAGTTCGTTACTTCATTGTTTTTCAAAGCAAAAGCCAATTGTTGTGCCCCATCATCTCCAATTTGATTCGATCGAAGATCAAGTGTAATAAGTGTCTGAATGAAACAGAAAATGTCAATAAAAAATAAAATATATTAACAGAATAAATGACTTTATTGTCTCTTAAAATATCAGCTAAGTATTGTGCTCCAATATCTCCGATTTGGTTGTGACCAAGATATAATTTTGTCAGCGTCTGTGGAAAGATTGAAAATAAATTTGCGAGAGAACGAAAAATCTTACTGTACTGCTTTTTAATGCGTCAGAGA